CTAAATGGCAATTGGTGGTGACATTTCATTAACAAAATTCACGGAAGAACTGTCCACATCAATTCAACAAAAATTTCTTTTTTAATACTAAAAAATTTGTATCATTCAAATAAACAGGAAATACATAGAGTATGTCAATTTTCCACACAAGAAATCTGGCTGTGCATAATGTCAAACATATCTTAGAAACACAAAGCTACACCCGCATCATCCCTCTCCTACAGCTTGACGGCTGTACACTGAAGACACACAGCACACAGTCATGACACATCCATTCTGCCCGTGCTCATCACCTTCTCTGTGCTTTCTGAACTGGACCCAGAAAGCTCCAAGATTCTTCTAGCCTTGCTTTCCTCGACTTCAGCAAGGCAGGTTGGCTCGCTGCTGACAGCGTCAGCTAGGATCCTGTAAGTTGTACCCAAGAGAATATTTTGATCACGGAAAGCCAGAACATTTTCACTTAAGTAGCTCGATGTCTTGTTCTCATCTGTTGGATTAAAAAACAAAAAACAAAAAACAAGATTTTTTTCCTGAAGTTAGAAAGAAGAAATTCATAGCAAATCATAGTTGTTTCTATTAAAAAATAAATTAAAATAAATCTTGAAAATACAGTGAACTGACTTCAAATACTGGTAGGGAATTTCTTGACTCACTTATTAATGAAAAATATTTTTTGTTAGAAGTAACCGAATCAAAGTCCACAGAGGCTAAGCAATTAAAACTATGAATTAACTTTTTATTTAAGCATCATCATTCTGCACTTTGTCAGAGCACCTAGTTTTGGCTTTTGCAAAGAATTAAAAATGGCTCTTATTAATGTGTTTGGGCATATACATTACTAACCTAGAGTAGATTTTTAAACTGATACTGTGGCTTATAGCTGATAATGCAACAGATACTGCTGCAGTCAAAGTTCTAGTTCTGTTTCTGGCCACGTGGTGCTGGGCAAGGAGCTTTACTAGCCTTGGTGAGGCCTGCAGCGTCCGGGGTATGATAATGGTGTGGGAAACCAGCAAGCCTGCTCAACCACACCCTGCTCGCCCATAGCCTGACGATCCTCTGACAGGGTTGTCTTGCTCACCCCGCAAGGCTGTTACAAACTACAACCATACTCTAGCTGTGCAGCTATTATTATGATGGGTACTAAAATTGCCTTAATATCAGCAAACTCCTCCTCTTACCCCCTCCCCCCCAAAAAGCCCAATGAAATTTTTTAAGCAATCGTAAGGATGATTTTCTGATCGTGGGATCACTACAGAAAGACTGCTTCTCCTTTTGGCACAGGGCATTACTGAGGCTGGCACTTGCATGGTGCAGTGTCTTGCAGCGGAGTCCAGTGTGGGGATGCAGCTGAGACACATTAAGAACAGGACTGCCTCAGGCCCTCGGGCCCTGGAACCAGAGCAGGGCACCAGATCCTAAGCCCCACCCAAGATGACTTTCCTCCCCTCAGTCTTAGAGGCCACGTTATTGTGAAAAGAGGAAAAAGGTGCTTCATGTCTGTTTTTACATCTTATATGTAAACTTAGTTTTCAAAATAATTAAAATATTAGACTCATGATCTAGTTAAGTATTAAACAGAAAAAATTGTAATTTCCATTTTATTTTATAGTTAAAGAATTAAAGCTCCAAATGTCATACACAATAGCATTATTAGAAGACTAAGTACCCTGGCTCCAAATCTTTTGCTCTGTTCCCAAGGAAATCACATCATTCTCTCTGGCACACTTTGCTATATTTACTAAAATTACTACAAAGATTTAACCCCCAAATGTCAGATGAAGCAGCACAAGGAATAGTTTTAGAAGACACACAAGACATAGTATAAAACAGCATTCTAAAGTTTATGTGGGTGAGAGCAGCCTAATTACCCAACAAAGAGACTGTTTTCAACACAGTCAGAAGCCGCTCAGGTTGGCACTGGGTGCGGCTGCGGCAGTGGCTCAGCCGACAGTAGCTCTGCGCCCATGTCACCAGCCAGTCATCTCTTGTTTTTGACTCTTTATGGAGTTCCTTCAACAGTTTCATGGCAAGAGAGCAATTGTTCTATAGTAATAGGAGAAAAAGAAATTTCTATATTAACAGAAAAATAAATTCTCTTAGCTTCAATTATGTGGATGTCTTTATCATTGGGATATAATTCCCATCTAGAGAGTACAATTCAATATTTTTAGTGTATTTACAAAGTTAGGCAACCACTACCACTATCTAATTCCAGAACATTTTCATCACCCCAAAAAGAAACCCTTTACCCATCAGCAATTACTACCCACCATTCTTCCTAGCCATTAGCAAGCACTAATCCAATTTCTCTCTATAATTTGCCTATTGGGGGCATTTCATAATAATGGTATCAAAAAATGTGGTGATTTTGTATCTGGCTTCTTTCACTTAGCATGTTTTCAAGGTTTGTGCATGTTGTAGCACGTGTCAGTACTTCATTCCTCATTATGGCTGAATAATGTTCATTGCTCAAATACACCACAATTTACTTACCCATTCATTTACTGATGGACATTTGGGTTATTTCCACCTTTCCAGCTATTCTGAGTAGTGCTATTGTGAACATTTATGTACAATTTCTGTGTGGACATATGCTTTCATTTCTATTGGGTCTATACCTAGGAGCGGAACTGCTGGAACATACGCTAACCCCATGTTTAACTGTTTGAGGAACTGCCAGATTGTTTTCCACAGCAGCTGCACCACTTTTTATTTCCAGCAACAGTATATGAGGGTTCCAATTTCTCCACAACCTCGCTAATACCTGTTATCATCTGTCGTTTTGACTCTAGCCGTCCTAGTGGGTGTGAAGTGGTACTCACTATGCTGGTGTGCATTTCCCTGATGACTAGTGGTGTTGAGCGTCTTTTCCTGTGCTTTCTGCACATCTTCTTTGGAGAAATGCCTATTCCAATCCTTTGCCCATTTTTTAATTGGGCTGTCTGACTTTCCATTGTTCACTTGTAAAGCATATATTTTGGATACTAGACCCTTATCAGTTATATGATCCGCAAATATTTTCTCCCATTTTGTGGGTTCTTTTCACTTTTTTTGAGCGTGTCATTTGAGGCACATAAGTTTTTAATTTTGATGAAGAATAATTTATCCATTTTTTAATTTAGTTGTTCTGTGGCTGTTTTTTAAAGCTACATCTCTACACTTCTAATTCTCTCCCAAGCTTCAAAAGACATTTTCATCAGAACTGGGTCTTCCTAATTAATGCCCTTTCAACTATTCAGGCTAAAAATCCAAGTCACCCCAGCTGCTAGCACCTCAGGGCTTCTTGTATCTCATCACAGAGCTCTTCTCACATTCTGTTCATTTCATCTCCCACCTCCCTAATTCGGGGCTTCCAGTCTCTCTCTGCCTTGGCTTTTCCCCTAGGCACACATCTTTCACATAGCTTCTGACTCAACTAGCTCACCTGGAGAGCCTTCAATGACCCTTGATCCCAGAAGGACACGGCCTCCAACCCTCTGTGCTCAAGGGGGCATGATCCACCAGAGACCCACCATCAGGAAGCCCCACACGCCTCTGCTGAGAGCAGACACTGCTATTCCCAGTTTCATCTTCATGTTTTCGTGTGGATATTTATTAACACCTGGAATACCTTCCTCTCCTCTTAAAGTCCAAATCCTTCCATTCCCATAAAGCCTCCCACCTTGGTGGATTCTCTTCTTCCCTGTACACTCCTGGCTTTGCTCATGTCTTTTCTTCACTATGTGGGCAGCCCCCACTCTCTCACTAGACAGCAATCACAAGGGAAGGGACAGTATCTTACCCCTTGTCGGCTTACCCCTTGTCATGCCGGGTACGGGTTCTTAACCACACCATGTTCTCATCATGACCCGGAACTCCCTCACCATCACGTTCTCAAACTCAAGTCATCCTCTTCTGACCATACACCTGTGTCACGCTCACTGGCAAAACCACACTCTGGCCTAATGTGAGTGTGAGCCTCTCCTACTGCTCCACTTAGACCCGCTGAACAACGAGTCACTGGAGATGACTCCAGGCGGAGTCTCAGGGCTGTGTCTCAGGACTGACTGATGGCTGCTTCCTGCTGCACTAGTCAGACTTCTTCCCCTTACTGCACAGTTGTGACTGCAAAATGTCCTCACTTTCCACAATTCTCCTTCCTAGCACCCCCACTCACTCTCAGCAGATGACTCTGTGTCCCACTCCTCAGGGAAAACAGATGAGCTCTTCACGATATACCACCACCCTTCCCCACCTCTGAACCCATTCTCCCTCCTTCCCTCCAGGCAAGGTGCAGAGGACGACCCTGGGTCTGAGCCCCACAAGGAATCTTACCTAAGCAACCACTCTTCACCTTATGCAGCCAGGTCTCCTCATCCATTAGTTCCTCCCATTAGTACTTAAACATCCCAGTCTCATCTACCCTGAAGAAAGAGCTCCTCCTTGGCCCCACATGTTCCCCTTGTCCTGGTTGCGCCCTTGCTCCAGGGAAGTGGTTCTCACCAAAGCCAATACCAAGCTCCTTCTCCTACATGCAAGGACACTTTCCAATCTTTTTGCACCTTCCCCCTCTTTGGCAGTTGTCCTCATGGGCTCACAGCCCCTCAGTCCTCTTCTGATCTCGTCATTCAGTGCCAGTTTCTTGGTGATGTCTCTGTCTTTGCTCGTCCCATAACTGCTGGTCTCTTGCAGGGCCTGGTCCTGGCCACCTTATCCACTCCTACCATTTCAACGACTAGCACATGCTGATCACATTCAGACCATCACTAGCCTAATTCTCTTGCTCTAGAGCTTCAGATCATTATGTACAAATTATCTAATGGAATCACAACTTGTCTTAAAGACCTCACAAATTCAGTATGTCCTGAACTGAACGTATCATCTTCCCCACAAACTGCTCTTTATCCTGCATTCCTGTTCACCCAGCTAATAGGGTCAGAAACCTGGATGCCAACCTCTCCCCAGAAACAGAACCAGTCCTCACGTTCCACGTGAGCCTCATTGCTCTCCTTGAATCTGTCCACTTCTCTCCGTTCCCTGATCTCCAACCTGGACTCGACCCTGGCACCTCTCAAGGGCCAGTGAGAAGCCTGCCCAGCCTCTACCGCTTCCCTGCTCTGCATTACGACCACTGCTGTGTCCAAGCTGCACCTCAGGCCGCCTTGTTCATCACAATGTATCCCATTATGATTGCTGGCCTACTTGTCTATGCTTTGTTCAGTGCAGCACCCCCAGCACCTAGTGAAGTGCTTGGCAGTGAAACATGACAAAACTCACACTTCAATCCACTACTGTTGAAGAGTTTTGAAGAGTATGGGCAGGTAAACTGAAATACAAAACAGGTTTCCATAATTTTTAGATGTGAATTATTCTTTTTCTCTCCAGCCCCAATATTACTAGTACTGACAGCTAACTCTACTGAGCCCATATTTATATGCAAATATACTGTTGAGAGAGTGCCAAGGAGAGGAGAGGGTGCTGAGGAGAGAGGCCAGCCCTGGCTGATAGCATCACAGATGCACCTGAAGCTAGCCCTTCTGGACTTTTCATTATGGGAACTGACAAATCTCCTTTATTGTCTTAGGCTGTTCTGGGTTGGGTTTTCTGTTACTTGCAATATAAAAATTTCTAACTTAGGGCCGGCCCGGTGGCGCACTGCTATAGTGCGCCGCTTGGGAAGCGCGGCGGCGCTCCCGCCGAGGGTTCGGATCCCGTGGCCGGTCCCAGCCCGGTACGGGTGCGACACTGAGGGTTGCGATCCATTGCCGGTCACAAAAAAAGACAAAAAAAATTAAAAAAAAAAAAAAATTTCTAACTTATATGATACCCATCCCAAAGAAAAATCTATAAATGAGCATTTAAACCTACAAAACAAATATTAATTATTTGTACTACAATAACAACAAGGTCACGGGTTCAGATCCCTGTACCAGGAGTTGCAAAGAAATAAACAAACGTTCTCTGCTTTGCAACAGCAATCAATACAGGGGCATTAAAATAGTGAGTTTTCTTAGTGTATTCAAATAAGATTTAAAACATTTAAATAGTTTATATGCAACTTTTAAGCAAAGTATACTTAATATCAGGAAACGGTCTTATTAAATGACAGATTTCCACAAACAAACTCAACCTAAAAATAATTTGTAACTAACTGGCAAGGATTCATTTTGTTAAATGAGATCAAACCTGACATTAAGTTTATTTCTTTTTCAAATAACAGACAGTAATAATTTTGAAATGATTAACAGGTATATTATCAACTTTCTGGGTAATTTTAAATGTTTCCTCAGTCTACTTTCTTATGAAGAGAATAAAAATGCTAACTACTTAATTATCTTTAAGCTTCAGATTTTAAAGAAAAGCTAAGCAAAGTNATTTATTAACACCTGGAATACCTTCCTCTCCTCTTAAAGTCCAAATCCTTCCATTCCCATAAAGCCTCCCACCTTGGTGGATTCTCTTCTTCCCTGTACACTCCTGGCTTTGCTCATGTCTTTTCTTCACTATGTGGGCAGCCCCCACTCTCTCACTAGACAGCAATCACAAGGGAAGGGACAGTGGCTTACCCCTTGTCATGCCGGGTACGGGTTCTTAACCACACCATGTTCTCATCATGACCCGGAACTCCCTCACCATCACGTTCTCAAACTCAAGTCATCCTCTTCTGACCATACACCTGTGTCACGCTCACTGGCAAAACCACACTCTGGCCTAATGTGAGTGTGAGCCTCTCCTACTGCTCCACTTAGACCCGCTGAACAACGAGTCACTGGAGATGACTCCAGGCGGAGTCTCAGGGCTGTGTCTCAGGACTGACTGATGGCTGCTTCCTGCTGCACTAGTCAGACTTCTTCCCCTTACTGCACAGTTGTGACTGCAAAATGTCCTCACTTTCCACAATTCTCCTTCCTAGCACCCCCACTCACTCTCAGCAGATGACTCTGTGTCCCACTCCTCAGGCAAAACAGATGAGCTCTTCACGATATACCGCCACCCTTCCCCACCTCTGAACCCATTCTCCCTCCTTCCCTCCAGGCAAGGTGCAGAGGACGACCCTGGGTCTGAGCCCCACAAGGAATCTTACCTAAGCAACCACTCTTCACCTTATGCAGCCAGGTCTCCTCATCCATTAGTTCCTCCCATTAGTACTTAAACATCCCAGTCTCATCTACCCTGAAGAAAGAGCTCCTCCTTGGCCCCACATGTTCCCCTTGTCCTGGTTGCGCCCTTGCTCCAGGGAAGTGGTTCTCACCAAAGCCAATACCAAGCTCCTTCTCCTACATGCAAGGACACTTTCCAATCTTTTTGCACCTTCCCCCTCTTTGGCAGTTGTCCTCATGGGCTCACAGCCCCTCAGTCCTCTTCTGATCTCGTCATTCAGTGCCAGTTTCTTGGTGATGTCTCTGTCTTTGCTCGTCCCATAACTGCTGGTCTCTTGCAGGGCCTGGTCCTGGCCACCTTATCCACTCCTACCATTTCAACGACTAGCACATGCTGATCACATTCAGACCATCACTAGCCTAATTCTCTTGCTCTAGAGCTTCAGATCATTATGTACAAATTATCTAATGGAATCACAACTTGTCTTAAAGACCTCACAAATTCAGTATGTCCTGAACTGAACGTATCATCTTCCCCACAAACTGCTCTTTATCCTGCATTCCTGTTCACCCAGCTAATCGGGTCAGAAATCTGGATGCCAACCTCTCCCCAGAAACAGAACCAGTCCCCATGTTCCACCTGAGCCTCCTTGCTCTCCTTGAATCTGTCCACTTCTCTCCGTTCCCTGATCTCCAACCTGGACTCGACCCTGGCACCTCTCAAGGGCCAGTGAGAAGCCTGCCCAGCCTCTACCGCTTCCCTGCTCTGCATTACGACCACTGCTGTGTCCAAGCTGCGCCTCAGGCCGCCTTGTTCATCACAATGTATCCCATTATGATTGCTGGCCTACTTGTCTATGCTTTGTTCAGTGCAGCACCCCCAGCACCTAGTGAAGTGCTTGGCAGTGAAACATGACAAAACTCACACTTCAATCCACTACTGTTGAAGAGTTTTGAAGAGTATGGGCAGGTAAACTGAAATACAAAACAGGTTTCCATAATTTTTAGATGTGAATTATTCTTTTTCTCTCCAGCCCCAATATTACTAGTACTGACAGCTAACTCTACTGAGCCCATATTTATATGCAAATATACTGTTGAGAGAGTGCCAAGGAGAGGAGAGGGCGCTGAGGAGAGAGGCCAGCCCTGGCTGATAGCATCACAGATGCACCTGAAGCTAGCCCTTCTGGACTTTTCATTATGGGAACTGACAAATCTCCTTTATTGTCTTAGGCTGTCCTGGGTTGGGTTTTCTGTTACTTGCAATATAAAAATTTCTAACTTATATGATATCCATCCCAAAGAAAAATCTATAAATGAGCATTTAAACCTATAAGACAAATATTAATTATTTGTACTACAATAACAACAAGGTCACGGGTTCAGATCCCTGTACCAGGAGTTGCAAAGAAATAAACATTCTCTGCTTTGCAACAGCAATCAATACAGGGGCATTAAAATAGTGAGTTTTCTTAGTGTATTCAAATAAGATTTAAAACATTTAAATAGTTTATATGCAACTTTTAAGCAAAGTATACTTAATATCAGGAAACGGTCTTATTAAATGACAGATTTCCACAAACAAACTCAACCTAAAAATAATTTGTAACTAACTGGCAAGGATTCATTTTGTTAAATGAGATCAAACCTGACATTAAGTTTATTTCTTTTTCAAATAACAGACAGTAATAATTTTGAAATGATTAACAGGTATATTATCAACTTTCTGGGTAATTTTAAATGTTTCCTCAGTCTACTTTCTTATGAAGAGAATAAAAATGCTAACTACTTAATTATCTTTAAGCTTCAGATTTTAAAGAAAAGCTAAGCAAAGTAAAAAGCTAATTCAGGAAAACTGTGATACGACTGATGAACAGAGACATGAGCACCTACCTGCTTCCTCGCACTTTCTACCATCTTCATTTTCATGGAAAACTTGCAGCTCTTGATCAGGGAACTAACTCCTTCTTCCCACTCATGCGTCTCCATCCTCTCACCAGAATCCCCGCCTCCATCCACATTCATACTACGGTCATCTGGAAGAGGAGTAAACTTCTCCTCTATTTTGCTGAGAAAGAAACATCTACACACAACAAAGAGAAATGAGACAATGTCAGAGACTCATGAAAAAACTCTTTGATGTATAGAAAGCACTCACAGACAGAAATTCTACAGTTATTCAATTTTTGCTCACATTTAGACCATAAATGTATGCTCTAGGAACTGGATTTACTCTCTATTTTAATAAGCCAACTCTTTAAAGATCACCAAGGATATTTTAACAGAATTTTCCAGATATCACTTGCACAAAATAAAGCACTTGAACTCATAATTTCCTCTCTTGAGAAATAAGTAACATACCCTGTGATGGGTCAAAGCCATTTTTCTCCTTATATCTCCCAATCTGAAATTCTATACCCCAATGTGAGAAATGTAAGGCAGCAAATAGGTTATAAATAATCACTGAGAATTTTAACAGATAAGGCTCAGTTGTTCTAAAACTATTTTCATTTGTATCATAATTTACATATATGGCTTTGGTCAAGTGACTTTAATTTCATTAATATCCATAACACAAAGAGACAACATATAAAGTTTATCCCTTATCAATAATCAAATAACTTTCTGTTGTTCTTCCAGGGACT